CCTTCGAATCTCAACATTATTTGAAATGAAAGCGACAGGGGAAGGTGAGCCTGGTGGGCCTCAAATTAGACATTAGCAAGGCCTACGACCGTGTTGAATGGCCTTTTTTGGAAGGGATGCTGCGAAATTTGGGTTTTCATGAAAGATGGATAAGGTTACTTATGGAGTGTGTTACATTTGTTTCCTATTCCATCCCTTTTGATAATGATATGATTGAGCTGTTGAATCCGGGTAGGGGTCTTCGCCAGGGAGACCCTTTATCTCCTTACCCGTTCTTAATTGTGGCAGAGGGCCTCAGCGCTTTACTTCACAGATATGAATCATTAGGCCAGTTGCATGGGGTTTCCATTGCTCGGGGGCTCCTATGATTTCTCATCTATTCTTTAGAGCATCTCATCTTAACCAAGCATTCCAGCTCAGCTGGTTGCGAGGTTACCGTGCCTAGTGGGAGGTCTCGAGTTCGATTCCCGCTAGGCACACAACGGTTTGAAACTCAATGGCGTGAGTTTCAGCCCTGATTACTCCAGCCCCCCAGACCCCCTGGAGTATAAAAAAACATCTTCGATTAAGGAGATTCTGGCTGATTATGAAAGAGCTTCAGGACAGGTAATTAATATCAATAATCAAAAGTATTTTTTAGCACAAATGTCGATATGAATTATGGGGAGGGTTTGATCGAACTTCTTGTAGTTGGGCTGTCTGGGGGAGTGACATGCACTTGTCGTGAGGTGCACTCAAAATAATTTATCAATACAACACTAATACGTAGTATAGTGAAGTAAGGTTCGTATCCACAAGGAAAGGAATACTTTTCTTTTATATAAATAGTAACAAGGGGGGTTTTAAGTTTGATTTGATTTAATTTAATTAACACTAAGATAAATGACTTATATGAGTTTAATTTATAGAGATGAGGACTTGGTTTTGCTTTTATCCACTTAATAAAATGTTCGTCGATCCCGGTTATATCTTTAACTATCTTCCTCTCGAATACTCAATCGAGGAGTATATCCAGTTCATCGAGGGTAGTTATTAATGACGAGACGTGTTCATTAATAAAACTTACTACCGAGTTAATATAGAACAAACGTCGTATATTAGCCCGATGGTAGCAATAAACTTAAGATGAAAACGATTGATATTGATAACCTCAACACAAGCGGTTTATTGGTTTAATCAATATAATTAATTCCCCTTAGATTATTAACCATGAGATGCATGCATTAATAATCCAAGTTTTACTACCGTTGAAAGAACCGAATTAATAACAAGCGTATTAATCGATTGATTCTAGTAATAATTAATATATGAAACAAAACTAGTTGATCCTTTAAGTAATGCTCAAAATATTAATATGGAATATGAATAGGAAATAATTAATATTCAAGGAAGAAGATTAAAGAAAATAACTCACAACTTACAAATTCATTAAGCTTCAAAGTAGCAAAACCAAGATGGAAAGACCACCTAAATTACAAGAATAAACTGTATATGAAAGAGGGGATTAAATTGGTCTCTAAAATAGGAAGGAAAGAGGTGTTTTATAGGAGATGTGAGGTAGTTGGGTCTAAGAAATAATCTGATTTTCCCATGTTCACTTGTTTTATTTGATCTCTTATGATCTCCGGGTCGAATCATATCCGATTTTTCACACATCTTTGTCCTCCATGAAGCTTCCTCTTGTCTCCAATGCTCATTCCTTATGCTCCCAAGCTCCTTCCTCTTCTTTTCATCATGTTTTTGCTTACATGTCAAAATATCTTAATATCTACTAATTCTTCTTTAATTTTAGAAGATAAAGATTACATAGTAATTGTACAAAAGCTAAGTAAACATAATGTAAAACCATTCTAAAATGTGGTGTTTATGTACTTCTAAATAGTACGCATCAGGGAGGATGGGAAATATTTGGGTTTACCCGCTGTGGTTAGGAAAAATAAGAATAACATTCTTGGTTATCTCAAGCAGAGAGTACTCACCCGTATTAATAATTGGAATAATAAATTCTTATCTAAAGCGGGAAGAGAGGTGCTTTTAAAAGCAGTGATTCACGCTATGCCTACGTACTCTATGAATGTTTTTCTTTTGCATGTTGACCTGTGTTGGGAAATAGAAAACATTATGAATTGGTATTGGTGGAAATTGTACCCGGGGGTAGCTTATCCTAGGGGTTACTGCGGGGAGTAACTGGAGAGAAGTCAGAGTAAATAAATAAGAGAGAGAGAGTATTCGATTATGTGAACTTGTTGTGTTTTACAATGGGGAAATGGGCTGCTATTTATAGTAGCAATAAATGCTAGATAGGGACATGTGTCAACAATCTGGTGGTCTAGGGATCACCTCAACTGGGGTGGCATTGGCACTCGCATGTGGCCGCATTAAATGCGGTGGTTGGATGCGACGTTTGTACTTGGTACGTTGATCCAACGCATGTGGACGTGAGATTCTGTCAAGGAGGATGCCTTTGGCTGTAGATGACAGTCCGAAGGCTCTGCGTACCAGGGGCCTCATAGTGCCGAGGGCTCCAATTGCCGAAGGCTTGGTTTTCAAGCCTTGTTCTCTTGTGATGTTTCTGAGCTCGAATCCGTAAATGGTAGCCCTCAGCCATGGAGCCGAAGGCACCCATATGCGTATTGTTGGCTGCTTAGAGCTTCATTCTGCTGGGCTCGACCCGTTTTGGGCCTGTTGGGCCTAAATGCAATAGTGGTAGTATGTGGTCCGGGGGTCCCTGGGCCATATACTCCATCAGGAGTCTCTCACTCCTTTTGTCGAAAGGTACTTGAGGGAAAAGGAGTAATTGTGTTGGTGCCGGTGTTTGCTTTGTTGTAGTTTGTAAACCTGTGAGAGATTTGCGTTTGCACACGATTTGGCCGGGGGCAGTCCTTCAGTCGCCCACATTTTGGGACTGAAGGATGTTGATGCTTCGTGAGATTTTTTAGCATTTTGTGATTTTCCCGGAGGGGTTTTTCAGTCCCTCACTCCTTGAGGCACATGTAATGTGGTGAAGAGGAGTAGAGCCTTGCCTATTTTCAGTATGGGGCCGAGGGCTGACGCTTTTCGTTTCATTTTGGGGGGATGCCTCGTTAAAAACCTCATCAAAATAAACCATGTGGGAAAAAATTCCAATGAAGGAAAAAGAGTGCACCGAGTTCCCCCAATGATGGAACGAAAAGGTTAACCCTTGGTCTGAATATAGTGTTGAGGCCGAAGGCTGCTCGTAATATGAGAGCTTGATCGTTTGATTTGCCGAGGGCGCCTGGGTGATATCCCGGGGATGCTGAGGGGGTCCCGTAGTCATTGAGGGCTGATGGCGTGTTGACATAGGTGACAGGTCCTGCGTGGCCGAGAGGGGTTCCCTAGCTCTTGATAAGTTGGAGGCTGAGAGCTCCAGAGGGCTCCCGTCATTTATGCCGGAGGCTAACCATCGATAAGGGGTTTAAAGGTGTTAGCCCGAAGGCTTGTGAGTGAATGTCTGAAGGGTACCAACCGGGGGCACCTCTGTGTTTTCAAAAAATAGCCGTTGGAATATGAACGGAGAGGGTTTCCACGTGGCGTGTGTTCGTTGGCTGTCCGCGAGCGGGTGTCACCGGTTGGCTAAAGCGACGGTGCGTGATAAGCACAATAATTACTTATGTTTTACATAAGTGATTATAATTATCTGTACAAAAATTAAAGCAAAAACAGGTAAATATCCCCGAATGAGCGGAAACATGCAATGCGGCTTGGAACAGCAAAAATAGGGTCAAAAGCCAAAAGGGGTCGAAAACCGGCACTTTTGGATAAATTTCGGGCATCAAAAGAGAAAAAGATGCTAAGTACAAATTTGAGCGCAGGAACCAGCGCCGGTCATCACACATCCGACGCCGGTCGTTTGTTTTTTTTCAAAAGCGGCCTGTTTCCAACCGGTGCGGAGCGACCAGTGCATTTTTGCACACGACCGGCGCCGGTTGTTCCGATTTCTACTACAAACACAGCTACGTGCAAAAGATTTCTTGATGGGAAACTTCATCTTCTTCATATTTGATCAGATATCTCCTCCACACCTATTTGTTGGGCTTGAATAGACTAAAAGATGTCATTCTTTAGCCTATATAAAGCCCTCAATTCATCATACAAATTCATTCCATTTTCCATAGATTAATTCTTAGCTTTTATATTTTTATTCTAGGTATTTTCTTCAAGTTCTTGAGGAGGGAAGTTCATCCTCCGAAATCATTGGTGTTTAGGTATTATTTCCTTTGTAATTTCATGTTCTATTACATTTATTATTGTATTGTGATTAATATGAGCATTAGAGGCTAATTTCTTAGCTAAGGCTAGGGATGAACTTCTATGCCCACTAGGTGTTCGATAAAAGTTCTAAACCAATAAATTGTGATTTATCCTTTATATATTGATTGTTTATGACTATGGTGTACAACATAGAAGTATGTTAAATTTAGTTTATACTTGCAATTAATGTTGAAGTCTAAACTATGAACATTAAAGGATAAACATATATAGTACCGAGAATAGAAATATATCCGGTCTTATGTGATACGGGTGTGATGTCTTGATATTCAACGGGGTTTTCGGTAGATGAATGTAAGCCGTAACGGGACTTACACGTAATGAAAACCACACTCTCGTTACCTTAACCGGAGTTGAGAATATATTAGCGACATCGTATTCATAATTATTGGCAAAGAACTAATATTCAACCCTATTTAAGCATTTAAGTGATTCCCGAAGCCTTAGTTGTTGTTATCATTTATCTTAAACTTAAAATTAGTTAACGATTATCTTCTTAAGCAAAAAGTGAAAAGCCAAAAAAATAAAACACAAATCAAAATCCCTGCACTTTACTCATTTCTTCATTTAAAGTTATCTACTCACGGACTAAATTAAACAACGTTTCCTTGTGGATTCGACCCGGTATTTTACCGGAATTTATTACTATATCGGCACTTGTACACTTGCAAGTTTAGCCCGATCAGTGCGTAATGATGATTTTCCTTTCAGGGGCCCGGTTTTTGGTCCAAGCCCGGATGGGGGGGGGGGGGGGCTATAAAACCCCTAAGGCCAGGCTCATTCTCTCGTGCGATTTCACTGTAGCGAAGCTCTGGCCGATTTTTTCTAGAGAGAGAAGTGCCTGTTCGATCAAAAACGCCGTACTCATGGCGAAGCTCTGGCCGATTTTTTCTAGAGAGAGAAGTGTCTATGGTTGATCTTGCCGTGCATTCCGTCACAAAGTCAGCCAGGGCTTGGCCCTTTATGGCAGGCCTCAGACGGATGTCAATGTTGTATTGGCTGAGGAAGATAGCCCATTTTACCATTCGGGGGGAGCTGGCAGGGCTCCTCATCAAGGCGCCGAGGGGTTGATGTGTGAGGACCTGGACCGGATGAGCTTGGAATTAGTGGCCTAGTTTCTTGACGGTCCAGACAATGGCCAGCACCGTTTTTTCCACAGGAGAGTACCTAAGTTCGGCCTCCCTGAGGGTCTTGCTAACATAGAAGATGGCATGTTGGACGTCATCTTCCTCCCGGATGAGCACTAAGCTGAAAATGAAAATGTCTTGATGATCAACTAACAAAGCTTATTATTTTCATATCAATGCTCTTTTTGTAAGTAATTTATGTTCATTTGGTACTGATGTTATGCTCATTTTTAAAGTGACACATCAATGCATATATATTTCAAAGGGAAAAGTACGGAAAAGGTACTTGTGGTTGGACCCGTTTTCAGATAGGGTCATGTGTTTCATTCTTTATCAAAGTAGTTCATGTGTTTGAATTCCGTTATCACGAGAGGGTCACGCCGTTAAAAATGTCTAAAAAGACCGTTAAAGTTAACTCCGGTTTTCAAAAGTGCCCGAAAGATTAAAAGAAAAATACCGAAAGGTGCGCCTCGTCAAGATGACCTCCAAACCACCTTCGTCTTTGGATTTTTCAGATCTGTTTGAATTATTTTTTAAAATGATTTCACTAATATCACTTTTCGGATGGACTTTCCAGTGACAAGGGTGGCTGAAAACAAAAAAGAAAGATGGCCTAGCGGTCGTCTCATTGAGGCGCACCTTCCGGTATTTTTCTTTTAATTTTTTGGACACTTTTGAAAACCGGAGTTACTTTTAACGGTCTTTTTCAGACGTTTTTAACGGCGTGAACCTCTTGTGATAACAGAATTCAAACACATGAACCATTTTGATAAAAAATGAAACATGTGACCCTATCTGAAAACGTGTTCAACCACAAGTACATTTTCCGTACTTTTCCCTATTTCAAAAGTATCATATTACATTTGATTCACATATTGAAGTTTATAGAAGTTGATTATAGATATAATTTAATGATAAGTTTTTGTAAAAGATAAAATAAGAAAAAGAAAGTGAATTGCAATATATTAAATTAATATCACAATAATCATTATTCGACTCTTAATTCTCAGTAGAATACGTCTGATGGTCATTACAAGTGTATTAATGCTCATCTAACGAAAACCACGATTTTTCATTGAAATTACGAAAATGGCACCATTTTTTAGTTGTGATATCAACTTTCTTGTAATAATAACACGGTGCTCATTATTACACTATCAATACTCATTAAAATTGGACAATTGCTCATTAACATTACACTAATGCTCAAATAGCAGAAACCACGATTTTAACAATATATTGCAAAAATGCCATCGGCTTTACGGTTCTCACCGTACAGCCCGTTGTACGGTGGACAGACTCTATTACGAGTATACATATTAGAGTCTATATGTGAAATAAAAAACGCTACTAGTCTATTTTTGAAATAATATTTCAAAAGTGAAAAAAGGAATATTATTTTTGAAAAAAATTTAATTGCCTGATCTTTTAATGACTTCTGCCATTTCAACTTTGTTTTCAAGCTATCAAGCTATGTATTTCCTTTTTCCTTAGTCTAGCAACACAATCTATCTTGTATTCCCATCATATTTTAATAAATTATGAAAGTGTTCCCACACACTTTCCCCACAATTGAGTGGTTTGCTCCGGAAAAAAAGTGATATTATTTACATTTTTAGGCTTATTTGCTTAGTTTTCCCTGAATAAAATATAGTCAAAGTATAGTAGGTGAATAGTGTGAATCACCGATTTTGCAAGTAAAAAGAACAGAGGTAGTATTAAACTAAGGAAAAAATTAAATAGTTATGTTAAGTTAAATTATGTTGAGAAATATTCTTGTTAATTCACACATAAATAATATACAACTTATAGTATGTCATTATGTGAAGAAAAAATAAATGATTAAAAACTTGTTGCTTTATTTTTCGGATATTAGGCTTTAATAGGACTAAAATAAGCTCAAAATTCAACAATAGGAGTAAAATTCCTTTATTCTCAAAACAAGACTAATATATGTCCCTTCTTCCCATTCTATCCCCCTTCCTAGCTATAATTTCCAATAGATTTATTTTATTAATAAGAAAATCATAGTTTTTATTTATTATAAAATATAAATAATAATAAAATATTTATAAATAAATAATATAAAACGTGAAAAAATAAAATAAAAACAAATAAAAACTAAAAATAAATAAATAAAAATATCTAAAAAAACTTTTAAAAAGTCTAAAAATAAAATAAAACACCTAAAGATTATTTAAAAAATATGTAGGTCACTGCCAACGCGTCCTCCACCTCCCAGCACCACCAGCTACAGCTTTCTATTCAAAATTGTCATCATGATGACATATTTTCTCCAACATGGTAATCTTTTCCGGCGATCGAAGGTGGCGGTGCTGGAAGGTGACTAAGATGGTGGTTGATGTCTGTATATTTTTAAATTATTTTTTATGATTTTTATTTTTTTAATATTCTATAATGATTGTTTAAAAGTCCTATTAGGAAGGACAAAAGAAAGGGTAGAATAGGAAGAGTTAGTCCTATTTTGGGAATTTAAACTTTAAAATCCTATGTTTACAATTATGCTTTTGTTTATTCCTATTTAGGTAAATCTCCCTTTATTTTTTATTTAGAAATAATTAAAAGATGCATTATAAATGTAATTTCAGGACATTGATCTATATGTGAGATAAAAAGTGCAAATGAATTGACAAATAATTTGAGGCCATTATCATTGACAAATAATCAAACAAAGAAAAAGTGACACATAATTTGTATTGAAAAATAAGAATGGAAAATAAAATATATAGAAAACTGAAGTGTGATTTAAGCAACATCATATCCTGGAGTGATTCAATTGAAGAAAATTAATGGAGTCATATGTCTAAAAAAGCAAAAATAGAGTCAAAACTAAAACAAAATGCAAAGCAAATAGGAAGCATAAAAATTATTTATAATTTATTAATTACGAATTGAGATTAATTATGATGATTTTTAATATTATTTTGATAAAAAACCAAGTTAGGTCCACTACAAAAAAAGTAGTCACGGATTTGTCCGTGACTACGTCCGTGACTATATATAGTGACGGACCTAGTCCGTGACTAAAGTGTTCCGGCCAACCCATTTTCGCCTCCGGCGGGATTTTTTTTAAATTTGAAATTAGTCACGGACATGTCCGTGACTAATTCCGTGACAAGTGCAAAATTGATTTTTTCAATGTTCCAAATTTAAAGTGCACCGACAATTCGTACAAAAAAATGTAGTCACGGACACATCTGTGACTAAGTCCGTGACTACAAAATTTATATATGCAGCCTCGGCTTCATTCAACAAAATCACACCATCTACGTACTCCAGATAGAATTCCAGATAGAATTGAAGGATGTAATCTACCCATCTCATATCATTTTTCCTGTTTATGCAGATAAGGTATGTAATTTGAATTACGTATTTTTTGTAAATTAGTTAAATATGTAAATTTGTTAATAAATACATATGTAAGTATATTATTAAATATAATATTGGCAATACATATGTTATTAATTTTAAAATATAGGGTTAAAATTACGTAAATTAGTTAAATACGTATGTAAGTATATATGATTAAATATAATTTAAATGCATATTATTAATATTAGTTAAATGTAAGTATTATTTAATTCAAATGACTTTATATATATATATATATATATATATATATATATATATATATATATATATATATGATTAAATATAAGTATATGATTTCTTTATATTGGCAATTATTGTTAATTAAGGCGGCCTAATTTAGGATTAATAATGATTTAAGATAGGGTTAGTTAATTTAATTTAAATGTGTTTATTATATATATATGCTCAAATTATTGGATTTGCTCATATTATTTAATTTAGTAAATTGTTAAATGTGCATTATTAATAAGATTAAGATGTTGATAATTTTAGTATTGTGGATTAAATTAATGTCATTAACGTATTGTGCATGTTTATAGTTTAATAATATTAATTATTGGGCGTTAGTTAATTTTAATGGAATTTTAGTGAATTTTAGTGAATTTTAGTGAAATTTTAGGCAATTAGTTAATTTTAATGGAATTTTAGTGAAATTTAGTGAATTTTAGTGAAATTTTAGGCAATTAGTTAATTTTAAGGGAATTAGTTAATTTTAAGGGAACTTTAGGGAATTAGTTAATTTTAAGTGAATTTTAGTGAATTTTAGTGAAATTTAAGGAAACTAGTTAATTTTAAGGGAATTTTAGGGAATTAGTTAATTTTAAGTGAATTTTAGTGAAATTTAAGGAAACTAGTTAATTTTAAGGGAATTAGTTAATTTTAAGGGAATTTTAGGGAATTAGTTAATTTGAAGGAAATTTTAGTGAAATTTAGTGAAATTTAAGGGAATTAGTTAATTTTAGGGAATTAGTTACTTCTAAAAACTATTTCTTACTACGTACTTACTATTCCCTATTTTGTCATTATCTTCCTCTTCTTAATATATTATCTTTCCTACATTTTCATTTACCATTTTACCCTGCACTTTCTATCATCTATACTAGTCCAACTTTTTTTTCCTTAACTACCAAAAAATACCTGGTAGGGCACTTAAGAAAGAACATAGGGAGAATTTGTTTTGTATATATAGTACAAACATAATCTTGACATGGTTTTTCTCTAAAATAAATTTTCAATTATATCACATACTCTTTTTCATTTTATGATGTTGGGATTGATATTTTATTAGTTTAAAATGCCTAAAACAAAAAATAAGAAAAAATTCTAACGAAATCATGTGAAATCATATTCCTTGTCACCCAGGTTTTCTTGATTCATGTCCCGGCCATATTTTCTGAGGTGCTCGGGTTTTTCAGTTTTCACTCATTTTTCAGATTTTTTCTTGACGGATCAAATTTTCTATTCGATGATGGTGTCACGGATTTACTAGTTAACCCTATACGAGTCATACTCCTCTCCATTACCTTCTCTCCATTTACTCTCTCCATTTCTTTTTCATTCTATCTCTCTCCTTAAAAAAATAATTAAACCACATCTTTTCTTTCTCTCTACCCCACCATTTCCCCATCTCACTCTATCTCTCTCTTAATGGAGAATTCCACTTAATGAAGAGGAGCTAAATTCACCCTATATGGCAGGCTCGATTTCCTAAACATAGAAATGAATTAAAAAATCTTCCAAAGATGGGCACAATCATTCAATAATTGTATGAGATTATACTTTTCAAATATGGATAAATATGACATTTTAAAATGAGTATTACATTAATATCAAATAAGCATTCATAAATTACGAAATGAGTATAGAAATTTTGAAAACTCATTCAAAATCTCTACTACGATTAAACTTTAATTTCTGTAGCTCAATTGAATTCTCCATGCTCAAATTTTTATTTTTATTTGTGTATGTTTATTTCTTTTAATTATAAGCTGAAAATATTACCAGACAATACTCCATATTAAAATACAAAATTAAAATACAAGTTAGTAAATTTGAGAACTTTATTATATGTGCAGTTTCTCTCCTCTCCAACAGTGATTCTCTTGCTCAATCAATCGGCCTCCTTAATCGATTCCCAGGAACTCAGCGACCAGCATCTTCATCGACTCCTAGAACTCATTGAGTAGCGAGCATCACCCTGACATCATCCTCATCAGACCTCCTTCATCGTCTCCACCGAATCGATCCTCAGACCCCTCCAAACTCAACGACTCAAGCCAAAAGGGAAGACAGAACGTATAACCGTTTGATTTGTAATTAATTGCAAAAATACCCCGCTGTACGGTCGGCACCTTACAACCGGGTGTATGATAGTAGTATATACTATATACCAAGAAGTATCCCAGGATCAGGATTGGGGTTCGGGAAGGTGAGGATTATAAAAGCCGTCAAATTCAAAATCACGGAACCACAAGAGCTCAATCTCCACACTGAATTTTAATAATCCAAATCGCGGCAGCCATGACTGAGGTATGTTCCTAAACCGGGTTCTTCTGTCAAACTACACTGTGATAAGCAATGAAGAATCTTGATTTCTACTTGCACTATCTAATTTTACGAACTTATGCATTACTACGGAGTATAGTTTATCGTCTACTGTGTATATAATATGATTGTTTGTTGGTCTGGATTTGCATTTTGCAGTACTGGGTTAGTCAGGGCAACAAGTGGTGTGATTTCTGCAAAATCTTTCTCTCGAACAATCCTTCAAGCATCAGGAATCATGAGCTTGGTCAACGTCACAAAGACAATGTTGCACAAAGGCTCAATACGATGAGAAAAGAGAAAACTGCAAAAGAGAAAGAACAGAAGGAAGCAACTCGTGCTCTTAAACAAATTGAAGCAGTAAGTTTTCGTTTAAGTTATTGATAGGATGTGTAGTCATACATATTTGCAATTAATTGCACATTACACAGCAGCTTAACCAGAAATGCCATATTAGCTGATCGGAATTTGAAAAGTTTATACTGAGGGTACCAAAGCTTCATATTTAACATATACGGAGTATTTTTATAGTTTATAAAATTGTGGGTGTGTGTGTATCCACCATGGAAAATATTGAGGGAAGGGATGCCCTCTCCAGCCCCTTCCGCAGTCCACCACAGCCATGGCCATTAGCCTATTACATGCTATAACTTTCATATCTTAGTCAGAGCCTGTTTGCTAGCCTGATCCGCTTATTCTGCTTATCAACAGAATCATTGGAATAAGCACAAGAAGTATCTTTCAGCTTTTATTTGGCTATAAGCTCAGTACGTAATTGCATTACCTGTTTAGGTTAGTTGTTTCAGTTAGCTGTTTGACCATTTTTTTCTCTAGCTATCTGTACAGAAATGCTTCAAAAGCAATTTGTACAGAAATGTTTAATGAAAGCAATTACTTGTTGTTTCCTTTTAGAAGGTACTAGTATAAAATGAGAGTTTCAAATACGCTTTCAATCGTTTCATAAAAAAGCTTAAACAATTAGCTTTTCTAAACATGGCTTTCTGGGGTTGCTTAGCAAATGAAAACTGAAACTTTTACTTATTTATTAGACTGAAACGGACTTTATCAAATGCTTTTCCTTTCAGAATTTTCTATCACAAAATACTGCACGTTCAGTTATTTCAGCCGCTAACTGTTAGCAAACTGATATTATTGATTTTTCAGTGCATGTGTGAATTATTGTACTATACAGCAAGAACAATGGCATGCTTTTGAAAATGGTCTTGGTGATGGCAGATTTATATTATCAAACTTGAATTCGGCAGAAACAAAATAAGCTCTTGGATTCATTACTTCTTATCTATAAACTTATATGGAGTATATGAATTAAACATGGGCTGCTGTAAATCATCAACTCTAGGAGATTAATTAACTGCAATCTGCACTCCGGTGCACCTATCAAAGGCTTACACTTATATGTTTTGTCACTATGAAATTTGTTGCCAGAAAGCCCAACGCAGCTATCAAAAGGATGTAGCTCAAGCCCGAGCAGGTGCTAAAGATCCTATTGTTTCTGAAGGTAAGGAAAGCTTGATCTATGCATCTATCATGTATCAAAAGAATTATAAAGGGATGTTATTGTTTCAACATCTTTCCATCATTTGCAATGGAGCCAAAAATTCACTATTTTTTGACTTGGGAATATGATGGAATAAAGCAAATGGGCTCACTAAACTGTCTGCGCTTCTTTGTTAAGAAGCAACAGTCAGTCCATGCAATTTTGACGCGATTTTCACTATGAGTCATCCGGAAACAATCTCTCTGTGCATTAGTACAGGGGGTAAGACTGTGTACATTCATTGAATCCAACGGTAGGTGGGAGCCTTTGCGGCACTGGGGTAATGATAATGATGATGATTGGTTCAAGATCTGAAAGATATGTTAACTATATGCCTATATCAATGTAAGACTAAAAAGCTCATGAATTTTGTATCTTTTTTTTCCCAAGTATTTTTATACAACAACAACAACATCCTAGTATTTTTTAAGTAGTTTTAGGTAAAAAATTTAATTAATGTTCTTTACAGTTTATACACTACATTTATATTTTTCAAGTGCTGAATTGATATCACCTACTGTTCTAGACTACCAGTTGGTTAGCTATATCAGTACAAGTCTAAAAACTCATGAATTTCAAATCTTTTTATTTTCAAGTTTTAACGTTAACTTTGAATAAAACTTTCTGGACAGATTAGACATTATATTTAATGAAGTGTGCATTAGTAAATTCAAAAAATCAAGTATCGGATTTCACTTTTTTAGGTCCGAAATTGATAGTCTGTAGTTTTTTTATCTTTCAGATTGTAAATTGGCAAGTAAAAATATCTTATTGGGTTCTGATTTGATTAAACTCCAAATTAGTAAAACATTCTTTACATCCATTTCCTTGTCAATTAGACTGCAGCTTAAGGTGAGATTGTTTTTCATAACTCCAGATTGGGGGGAGTATGACAGCTCAACAGGCTACTATTACAACAAGACCAGTGGTTGTTACTATGACCCAAAATCTGGCTTCTACTACACAGATGCTTTAGGCCGGTGGGCCACACAGGAAGAGGCATTAGCAGCAACCCAAGCTGTTACTACATCAGAGTCTGCTCCAAGGAAACCTGTTTTAAAACAGAACCATGCTGTCTCAGAAACACTTCAAAGTGGTCCCCCTCCGGGGCGTGTTGTTTCGACTCCGCTTAATCCAACCAGATCCGTGAAAGGTGCTGCTCCCTCTTCAATATCGGTTGACAACAAAAGGAAAAGGGAAACAACTCAGAAGAAGCCAACAAAAGCTATGTCGGAAGCGGAATCAGCTGCACTCAAAGCAAGGGAAGCTGCTAGGAAGAGAGTTGAGGACAGGGAGAAATCTTTGCTTGGCCTTTATAAGCATTAGCCCCTACTTGTTAAAACACTTAAAGGGGGGATGATCTCTTGTTTTATGTATTGAGCTTTGTACCATAAGATGTTGCTTAGCAATATCTCCATATCGATTTGTAACTTGCCAAGAATTTATAGAGATTTCTGTTTCTCATTTTCTTCAGAATAGATTTCATTCAATATAACTCAAAATATTGAGTTCTTTTCACCTCTTTCGTTACAACTATATGATTACAAATTTCCACTATATGATTATCAAGAGTTTCTAGATCAACATGTCCGTCTTCAATGTCCCTATTTATTTGTCTAGCTTGACCATTTTTCTTTGTACATTTCGAAAATGGTCATTAAATATGTTTTTCTCATTTATCATTTTTTTAAAAGCATATTAATGTGACAGACTTTTAATAAACATCTTTATAGTCCATTACAAAAAATTAAAGCCTTTTTAGTAAAACATCATATCTTTTAATATTTGTTATTATATCATACCATTTTATCATTAAATTGTATAGTTCGACAAATCAAAGTTTTTCCTAACATATTAATGAAGTATACTTAAAAATTAAAAATTGATTAGAGTTACTATAATTATAACTACATAATTGCTACAGTGTAAAGTTGAATATAACTATAGTCATTACAAGTTATTGATAAAGTCATTAATTATAGATCACTTTTTATCCAATATCTTAATTCTGGTCAAACATACATCATATCTCTACCCCAATTGCCACCATCCCCATGTAGTGATGGATTCGGGCCGGGTCGGGCCCGGTCGGGCCGCCGGTTCAAGAAAAGTGGGCCCGGGACCGGCCCGCGGGTTGGACGGGTCCGGTTCGGGCCGGGCCACCCGCCCGGGTCACGGGTCGGGTCCGGTTCGGGCCGGGCCGGTTATTTTTTTTTGTATAATTTATATTTATAGTTTATAGTTTTATACGAGTATTAAAAACAAACTTCAATTGCATTTATTTGAAATGAAATAGGAACTACATTTGAAAATTAAAACAAACTTTAAGAGATAAACATTTTGAAAATTGTAATCAATCGGAACTTCCTGCACCTCCCGATCCTTTGGCTTTGTCACATGACTTCATATGCTTGATTGCCATCCCGAATCCGCCTGAAGCCCCCATTATACATTTTTTTTCGCACCATTTGCAAATTGCGTACCACATCCCGGTATTCGGATCCTTCTGCTTATCAAAATTATACCGTATAATGGCATTTTGATTTTCCATCTTAACTTCTTGGAGAAGAGAATATGAGAGTAGATATATAATATATTGGAGAATAAGAGAATTAGAGAGTAGAGAGATAAGAATATGAAGAATTGGAGAAGAGATATGAAAAAATGTTTAAGATTAGGAGTATTTATAGGTTTTTTTTTTACCCCCCACCCCCCCCCCCCCCACCAACCCCCCCCACCACCCAACCCCCCCGGACCCCCCCTTTACCCCACCCAACGGCTATATAGCCGTTTGGGTTGTCCCCAGCCCCACCCCCAACGGCTAGTAGCCTAGTAGGAGCCCAAACAAAAAAAAAAAATAAAAAATTGGACCGGACCCGGGCCCGGGCCCGGCCGGGTCACAAAAATGCTGAACCGAGCCCGCCCCGCCCTTCCCACCGGTTCGGGCCCATACCCGGTCCCGGACCGCCCGAACCGGGCCGGTCCCGGGCCCGCACAGTACCGGGCCAGGCCGGGTCACGGGCCGAGTGGCCCGAACCGAATCCATCCCTATCCCCATGGTAGACTATGGTCTATGACTCTATGGGTATTGGGTAGTATAAATCTCAATGATTACATCCCAAAATCCCTCTAGTATTATCTGAAATACATTCATGGGAATTGTGGTTGTGGGTTTTTTACACATCTCATATTCTCATCCACCATTCCACCCCAAAAGGCCAAAATCCTATTAAACAAATCCCCATCTGATATCATACTTTAACAAGAGAATACTTCAGATTTCAAAATAGTATAATACAGTCCCTATTTGATTTTATATTTCTCCTGAGGTATATACATAACTTGTTGACTTGTTGTGCTCTTCTCATTTGTCCATTACTGTGTCGGCAAAAAAAAACCATATTTGTGTGATGTTAGTTGCTTAAATGAATTCAAAGTGCACCATTAACAACACTTAAATGGAGAGAACTAAAATTCTTTTACCGAAGTGATCCAAAAAATCTGGTTATAAAATCTTGAACATTGTTAAGCTCATTTTCACTGATATATACTACTTTTATTCTTGCATACATGACCTTCAAAATAACAACCATACATAAATGTGAATAACAAAAAGGAATGAATGGTGATCGGTTGTTTCACCCGTGGCTAGGCACGGTCTGATCCATTAGATTTGGTCCCAACGCAATTGGGCAAACCAACTCGAGTTCATGGCAGATCATAATAGTAAAACGAGCTACAAGCGAATGGGCTTATATCAGCTCTCGATACACGGCGATCAGTCTATGCAGCACGGTTCAGTCCAAACACCATGGCAATTGGAACCCTCAGGCCTCAACCAATCAATAGGCGTCACTACTCACTAAACTCCTATAAACTTCTAGAAACTTGACGGTGATGCACAATTAAAAGATGTTCTTTCCTGTTTCACGTTTCCCTATATTTTCCACGTTTCCAAGCAACATTGACCAGAGGCCGTCATCTAGACTAGACCCAAGGTGTACATCACCATCAGATGAAGTAGGTTAAAGCAACAACCATTGTGGCAAGCTTCAAGTTTAAAATGTCGTACTAGCTAATGGATGAATTCAATCCAGCTACAAAATTCTCAAACACAACTGATTTTATTATCAGTCTTAAATTCAACCAACCAGGAAAAAACAAGACAGTTCAGTTTCTGAGGTATAACTCAAACAGTTACAACCAGACAATAAGATGTTAGCTCACAGGTTGCTGTTGGTGGTTCCCATATCCAGGTGCAGTATACATGCTTTGATCCCTATTATGTGACATGTAATATCCATATCCACCATTATTTTGCCTTCCCTGATATGCCCCATTCCATTGACCATTATTTTCACTTCTCCCGTGCTAAAACATAGAGGAAAAGAAGGCATCAGTGTACTTTTTACCGTTCTAATCTAATGATGCATATGTTTTTAGTTCATCTGCAGCTCCATAATTAGATAAACTTCGTAAAAACTAAGAATTTCCTTTGTAGACTCAAATTTGAGGTAGAGGTATTTTGGTTACAGTTTGGATGGAGGTTTTCTCAAGGGTGTTGGAGATATTGCTTTGGAAAGCATAATATATGTAGATAAAGAAAATATTTCTAAAAACCAAGTAAAAGGTTAATCAAATTTTATATGGTCAACACCTATTACCATATTTCTTGAGTTTCTATAAACTCTTGATGTACTTTTCCGATATTTACAAAAATTCCACCGCGCCTAGATGTTGGAAAAGTGCATCAAATTATGTTTATTCGAAAAGTGCATTAGATAAGAGTTATTGTGCATCAGATAATGTTTATTCGAAAAGTGCATTAGATAAGAGTTGTTGTGCATCAGATTGACAGTTTGGACGGCTCAGAATTATACTTACTTTACACGTTAAGACTCCTTTTTATTCAAACCCTCTCATATATATATATATAAAGATATGAACTTAGCCTCCAAAACCTACCATTCATATTCCTCGTTGATCTGACCCTAAGCAAGTGAAGGAGGTATAAAAATCCTTCAAATGCCTCACAAGTTGTAAATCACTCCAATTTGGTAGAGTTGTTTTTTAAACTTCATTCTTTTTTACCAAAACTGCTCTACATTATTATTGAATGTGCATGTAGGTTAACTTATATCTTTAATTGCAATGAATAATATACAAAATACTATTCCTTATATGCTCAAATGATTCATTTTTTAAATGTAAATACCTGCTTGTTTGAAGGAGTGCGCCCCCATGAAAGGCGAACTGTCTGCTTCCCAATGACCGATCCATTCAATTTTTCCAATGCTTCCTCTGCTGCACTCCTATATATAGTTATTACAAAAGAAGCAGGGTTATGCACGGGTTTTAAACATGAAACATTCACCTTCATAAAAAATAGTAACTTGCATTAGACATTGGCATATGCATTATGGGACTACCTAATTGCAAATTGTACAAAACCACACCCTTTCCCGGTTGGAATTTTAACAGAGACCACATCCCCAAACTGAATAAAGGACTGCCTTAGTTCTTCATCACTCACGTCTGAATCAAGTCCACCCACAAATATCTAGACAGGAAAGAAAAAACATTAGTACAAGATAAACTAACTTCTAAACAACTCGCCATGCCCGTCCAGGCTCTCACCGTTGTGTTAGAAGAATCGTTATCAAATTGGGAGCCTGGAGTAAGAGTACCATTAGAAGCAAATCCACCTCCTACACAAACAGTTTAATCATTTAACTGAATTTTCAACATAAAAATTAGATTCAAGTTACTAAAAACAACAAACAAAAACAAGTATTGTGCATAAGATTTCACGAGGCATGCTATTTTGGGATTTGGGCAAAGCGAATTGTTGAGTATCCTAAAGCTCAAGGTATAGGCTGTATGAGTAGCCAAATGCCTTTGGATGCATGTTGGTTTGTTATATTATACTGATCTGAGATTTTGGATTATCGAAACAAATCACTCTTGAAATTGATTTGTTTTTAGTGGGATTGACTGCTTGTTTAAGTTCAGTGTGAATGCGTGATACCCCCCCCCCCATTAATAAGACTTGACATTCCATCATAAACGACCAACCTGATAGATATGGGTACCACGAGGTATTATATGTGGACTTGCAGTTTTATATTTAACCATGTGAAATGACTTATATGTTGAGGATCACACATAGGCTCATTGCAGAGTTCGAACTAAAATGTAAGTGTAAAGTAAACCTCACCTCTTCAGAATCGTTTCCGCATGTGTTAGGTGTAACTCAGCATAAACTATATAACGTGCTTCAGAAAGGAGCAGCAAAAATATAGATCAAAAGAGTGCGTACTAACCTTGGGAAGATTGCTGCTGCTGCATAGACGGTTTCTTAGGAGTTGCAACTCCCAAACGCATGGGTCTGCTTGAACAGTACTCACCATTCATTTCAGTCATGGCCCGCGACCTTTCATTTTCATCACCAAACCTGACAAAGCCATAGCCTTTTGAGCGCCCCGTATTTGAATCAACAACTACTTTTGCACCTTTGATGGAAGAATATCTATTGGCAAAGGTTTCATGCAACAGAGTGTCAGTGACATCAGCAGCCAAATCTCCAACAAAAATGGATAAATCAGAATTCGGTTCGGGGGTTGTTCTCTTATCACCGCTGCTAAATGAAGCCCAATTTAACCGAAAGGGCTGTTCTGCATTTGGCATCATTGCACCGCTATAGCTCTGCAAGACTTTCTCTGCAGCAGCATGTACACTAAACTCAACAAATCCATATCTCTCAGACTGACCGGTCAGCTTATTGCGAATAATCTTAACAGAAAGAACCTGCACATTAAGAAACCAAAGACCCACAAATTTTGTTAAGAATCTGACATCGGTGACATACTTAAGCTTTACATAAGGTTAACATTTGATAATTAATTGGATTTAGTCTTTTAGCACAGTTTGGTCTATGTGCATTGTTGCATTTTCTCTCTTTTCATAACCTAACAAATTCTTGCAGTTGAAGAAATTTGCTTTTACAATAAGAAAACATGCTATTGTTAGTTATCAAAATTTGAAACTTCTGAACAATCAGAACCAGTTTTTTTTCAAGTCATAAATAAATGAAAACAGTTGAGGAGTAGTTGTGTATTTGTCATTATTTGAGTAATGAATATTTCTGAGCACAAGTTGTATAAACTATAAAGTTTGTAACTTTATGAACTTTTGAACATAAGCTCACAAATGATGTGTTGATGGTTTTGAAATTACATCTTATTTCAAAAATTTACCTACTGCCAACAGTTGTGCAGCTTCAAATTACAGTTATTCTCTAATGACAACCAGCAAACAAGACATCTATGAAGGGTGGGGGTAGTTTCAGTGTTGACTGTTGACTATGGGGAAAATGCAATTTTGTAATAAGGAATTAGGTTATTAGGTAGTTTACGGGTTCGCAGATTCAGTGACACAACTAGAATTATAACAGAATAAAAATAAGAAACGATGACAAAAATATTACTCCCTCCGTCCCACATTTATCTTCGTGGTTCGGTTTACAATGCTTGACTGACTATAAAGCAACTTGATCCCTGTTCACACTCAGATTATTTTTAGTAAATTAAATTTACATATTCAGAACTACATTAAATCCGCTACAAAGTCTGATCAAGAAAATTTAAGTTTGATAAAAATTTGATATATAAAGTAAAAGATTAAGAGTAATTTGAGTTGACCATGTGAATAGTAAGTATGAAGATAAATATGGGACGGAGGGAGTACTAAAGTAAACAATATGGACAAATATGTGACGTACTTAATGCAACGTACCCATATATTATAGGTACAGGTGTACAGCGACTGTAATGGTATACTCTGTTAAAAATAAGCCTATGGGTAGTATAAGCGTTTATATACATAGAGAATGCTTAGCTGCTTAAGATTGATTCTTCTTCTGATTCATTCAGCTTCTACCCATTGGCAGATCTGTTCTAAGTTCTACTATGCAAGGGTGTTCACATTAACACCCAAAAATTTGAGAAAAATAAAAACATAAATGCAAAGAATTATATAATATTTCTTACTTTATTGCAGTAATTTATTTGTTTATATAAATAATATTTCTTATAGAATTATGTTTACTATAAAGTAATTTCAAACACTCGGAACTTAATCGCTAAATCCACAACAGCTTCTACATCCTCCTTGAAGTAGCAGAATAAATTTTATTAATCAGTTTCAACAAGCATTATTTGGTTTAAATGATAATCCAACCTTGAGAGAAATAATAACTACTCTTGCTCACTGATTTAAAAAATGAAAGGATAAGATTCATACTTGTGTAATTAAATTGTAAGCATCATGCATTAGTACTTAGTAGTACTAACAATGCATTGAAGTGGAATACTATATATACGTAGAAATTCACTAGTGATCTAATTCAAAAGTTTTTAGTTTTTTTTAAGTAATACAGTACTGCTTAGATTTACTCTTATTATTCAACTAAGCCATTCTTGTACTAGAACAGGACAACAAGTATGAAACATTAAATCTAGTTTTCACTTCAAATTAAGATATGAATTTCTTTCTTTAAAGTAGTGGATTAGTAAGATCTTGCATAAGAAGTACGTTATTATATGTCATGTAACTGTATTTCATAGAAATAAAAGTTCCAACTTTACTGGAAACAGTAAATCCAGATCCAACTAAAACCAAGCTAGCATACCTCTCCGGCGGGAGCGAAGCAAGAATGGAGATACCCTTCGTCCATCCATTGCTGAAGATCTCCAATCCAGATCGTCCGGTTATCTTCACCGGCGCCGGCGCCAGCGCCGGCGCCCTGCACCAGCGGCGGAGATTGCTTCTGCAGGTGCTGCGGGGGAAGCTGCGGGTGGCCCTGGGGGTAGTAAGGCATGTAGTGCTGGCCATACATAAGCATGGCGGCCGGCGGCGGATATTGCATCGCCATCCACTGCTGCTGATACTGCTGCTGCATCGCCATCCATTGCTGGTGTTGAATCTGCTGCTGCTGACTCATTTCTCCGCCGTTACTCATCTTTTCAAATCCCACTCTTCCCTCCTTCTCCGTCGTTCAGAATATCTCCACCGCCGGCCGGAGGGAGAGAGAGCAGCTGGTCTGGCGGCAAACAAAAAAAGAGAGAGCAAATTAAAACAGAGTCTGCTAAAGAAGGCAGAGCCGGATCTAGGGTATGGATCGCTGTAACGATACCGTTCCTGGACCGTCGATTTAACGGGAGCCGTTTAATCGCGCCCGTCGATTCAGGCTCGTGGGACCGGGCTGTACGCGGCGGGAGTTGTGGGTCCTACTCTAGTTCATCACTCCTTCCTCCGGGATATATATACAGATAATTTTCTTTTTCCGCAAAGATAAACAACCCTGCAATTATTGGATGTGTCTTGATCTCAGCCGCCGTAGATCTTTAAAGTAGATCCGTATGGACGGTGGAGAGGAGGAGTTGGGGGTAGGGGTGGGGGTGGGGTAGTGAGCAGATATCACACGCCAACATGTTTCCGGGTATAAACAGGCCAGGCTGGTCACCCCATTATTGGCATCGTCCATCGGTCAACGTTGGATGTGTTCTGTGCCGTGTTTGGCCTCCCATTTATGGTAAAATAACTTCTTTACAGTTACAAGTGGTCAGTCCAATTGGTTCAGTGATTCAGTCTAATCGGATAAGTGATAAAACCAATAATTTATCATTTACACCGCTTTCCGAAAATAGAACATGAATATGGTGGACGCGACTCAACGGATAATGTAGATAGGGAGTGTCAAAAGTGGTAAATTTTAAGTTTAAATCATGACAACTGTGATGAAAGATTACTATGTAAAAATACATGTGGTTTCTATCGGTAAATGAGCAAAGTTCACTGTCAAATGTGATGAGAGGTTACTATGTGAAAATGCATAGAACCTATATGAGCCAGAGCTTCACTCGTTAGGGCATCTTCATTCATAGAATTATTTGAGGATTAAGTTGTTGATGTGGCAGATTATTTTGGGGATTGAAATATAAATCCAGATTATCTCAAGATTATTGTGAAGGTAGTATTAATTATTGCTGCAGGATTCACAAAAGATTTGATTATTTTGAGATGATGAATGATATAATTTTGAAGGTACGAAATTATCTTGAAAAAATCTACGTGTCAATCTACGTGTCACTAAAAATCCGTTTATTCAAGTAGCATCAATGTGGATGCTCTTATGTGTCAACTTACGATTAGATCTAATTTACATTCTTTCGATTAACTGTCCGGTGTTTATTGGAAAGGAATATGTTGGGGATCTTTACGAATAAGGTGTCACCATTTTTTAGAAAAGAATATGAAACCGTAGGTCGTTATTTAAGTAATTTTTTTATAATCTACGTATTTGGATAGTATTGGGGGGGGGGGGGGGGGGGGGGGGGGGGGCTCCTTTTAATCCCTCGGCCCGTAAAGCAGTTAACGTTAGAGGAGAACCGAAGGAATTAATGGCTGTAATTGGGAGATTGAATACCAACCTTTTCAGAAAAGAAAGAGCATAAAAACAATAATAAAAGTAAAAACAATTATTATAGTGATGAAAAAATAGAACGATAATGGAAGAATATTGCAATGGCCTATAGGCATTCATCATCATCATCTGCAGCGTCTCATTCACGGGCTTCTTCTAGCCTTGCATGCTGGGCATTCCTGTTCTTTGCAGCTTTTTTCGTCTTTAAGGTACGGTACATATATGTACGTATGTGCATCTTTAGCGAAAATCGGGGGAAAGAATAGAATATGTTTTCTATGCGTAGAATATATTGACCAATTTATGCCACTTTAGTGGTCAAATGTAGTGTTTCTTGCCATATTTGTAATTGATTGATGAAAGCGTGCTTCTTTGCACCATGAATTTAGCGGTACAATTAATGAAATGAGGTAGTTGCATGCATGGATCAAAAGTGCATGCATATAAATAAATGCATTTTAAATCCAATCGTGGAGTTGCTTTATGCCATAGATAGATGAATCTAGATATCATCTTTAACATTTAGACCCCATCCTCCGGTATGGTCTAATCTAATATGATATAAACTGATGGGGTTGTATAGATGATTGTTTTATGTCTACTTTATAACTTAAGAAATCTGGTCTTGTATGGTTTGTTATCATGTGATCTAGTTTGTTTATACTTCCTCCGTTCCATAAAAGTTGCAACATTGGAATTTCTGCACTATTCACACACCTTACTTTGACTACGATTTTCTAATAATATATATAATAAAACTATTATGTATAAAATATTAATAAATTTGTATTAGTGTAAATTTCCAATATATTAACTTTTTTTAATGTTTACTAATACGTAAATAATATAATTACAGTCAAAGTTGCGCGTTGGCAAACGTGAAAGTCAAACTGTTGCAACTTTTATGGAACGGAGGATAGTATTTAGTTTGATTTGATCAGATTGAGACTGAAATCAGGCTAGCTAAATTAAACACATTCTAAGTTACCACTTCTCTTTTTTCTTTTTTTGAAACGACCACTTCTCTTATTTTAATGTTCATATATATATAATGTTTGAACGTGTATTTGTGAAATATTTGAGTAGTAAAATACGGAGTAATTGTTACTCCAACAATAATAACATTAATGATTATTAATTTTCTTTTGTTTTGATATCATATATGGAGTATTAATTTATGTAAGTCCACCTAAAAAAAAATTATGACTAAAGTTTGAATGTTATGCTTATTGCTTTTACCTAAGGCGCTATTGGAATGCAAATAAGAGTGGGAATGAATGGAACCAAAACACTTCCATTCTACCCATTCATATATATACCTATGGTTTTAGTTAATGATGATTTTGTATGTTTGAATTTTGGATAGGTGGATATTCTGATTGTCCAGAAAATATCGAGAATTCGACATAGTACGGAACATATAAATCAAATAGTAGTTCATGAACCCAAATCACCCGATTCGCCATTCAAGTAAAGTATTTTAGTCCTCTTACGCTTTTGGATTTCTTTATTGAGTGCTAATTTTTTGGTCAAATACGTTTTGTCTGTACAGACAAAAAAGAACTTTACACAGACATGTGTAAAAATTATGTACACAAAAAAGTGTGTACCTTTAAAAATTTTGTAATTTATTTATATTAATAGTGACTAGTGTTAAATTATAATATAAATATCGATCATATCCTCGCTGGTTGCAATACCTTAGTATAATAAGGGCGCGATTCAGCATCCGACACCAGAATTATGTGTATGGTATTCATATATCTTGAATTGAAACACTTTAATTTTCACTGAGGCAGGTTCGGAAATGGCACATTCCAAAAAGAGTTCATATTATCGTGGGGAGATGAACGTTGCAAGATATATGAAAATGGAGAACTACTTACACTGGAACTCGACAGATCTTCTGGGTCAGGCTTTGAGTCCAAAAAGGAATTCATCTTTTGCAAGATTGATATGCAAATTAAGCTCGTCCCCGGAGACTCCGCGGGCACCGTCACCACTTATTATGTACGATATATATAACTAAATTACTCTTATCTTTACTAATTGCATATTTGCACTCCATCTTTATGTTCAAATTAGCAATTGGCTACTAATATAAAGTATCGGTGGCTTATATACGAAGTATTATAAAAGAAACTATGTTAGGGAATAATTCACAAATAGATAACCGTAATAATCTGAATGCAGTTAACATCGGATGGCGATCACCATGATGAGATAGATTTTGAATTTCTGGGAAACTCATCTGGCAATCCCTACACGCTTCACACGAATGTGTTCAGTCAAGGAAGAGGTGATAGAGAGGTGCAGTTCTTCTTGTGGTTCGACCCTACAGCAGACTTCCACACATATACTATTCTTTGGAATCCTAAAGCTATCGTGTAAGTATTAACTTTTGAAACGTCGGGTCGAAAACTAGTGAAAACTTTTCAAATGGAATTTGGACTACAGGTTCTACGTGGATGGAACACCGATCAGAGAGTTCAGAAACGCGGAGGCAATTGGAGTGCCTTTCCCGAAGGATCAACCGATGAGGCTATACTCAAGTATATGGAATGCTGATGCCTGGGCCACACAGGGTGGACGTGTGAAGACGAACTGGACTCTCGCCCCCTTCGTGGCCTCTTACAGAAACTTCAGCGCCCAAGGCTGTGTTTGGTCACGGTTAAGCAGATCCACGTCTTGCCCCAGTGACGATTCCTGGATGACAAAGGAGCTGGACAGGTGGAGCCGTGCAAGGATGAGGACTATGCAGAGAAGACATATGGTTTATAATTACTGCAATGATAAGTGGAGGTTTCGCAGAGGACCTGGCCGAGAATGCAGATTTAGGTAGTGCAACAACAAAGCAAAATTACCTCCAGACAGGAGTAATATATTTCCATTTTGCATAAATAGGATCAAATTTTACTTGCAAATTTCTGAAAACTAAGTAGGAAAACTGTTGAACTAACAACACTCCATGACTTTCTTGCATATACTAGTCGTATAACCCAATTTATATACTCCGTATTTTAACCTGTTTATTTATTTACGTGATCATTTAATGTGTGCTTTTTGGTATTAAACGGAAATTCGAACTAAATATCTGTTACAGGATGTTGATATGAGAAACTCACCTGGCTGTTGACTCAACAACTTAATTAGGTTATTCAACAACATACAAGCCTTACTCCCAAAATTTTGGGGTCAATTCACATGAATCGATATGTGAAAATATATGAAATCTGAGCTAAAAAGAATAAGCTTTTCTTTAAAACTGTAATTCATCTTAAAGGAGGCAGATCCAGAGAGGAGCCCAATCCCTTAATGGGAAAAATTTTACATTCCAACTGTCATAAACTTAACGTGGTCAATTCTTAAAGAGAAAAAAAAAACACTTCAAAGCCATAAAGGAAAACACTAAATTACAATGTAATTAGTCCCTAGAAACAAAATCAAGACTTCATCCGTAGTGATATTAACCTCGATGTTTAACCAAATCATTAAGGGTAAGCAAAATCGATGGATTTGGTGGGGAGGTGGGATGGAGGCAATACACGCCTTTACTAAAACATAGCCCACACCATTCCCGGCTTCCCAGTTAGCTTCTGCTAACCAAATAATAAATAAATAGTAAGTTAAGCGACAAGAAAAATGTACAAAATTAGACCTCATAATCTGATTGGAGGAAGGTCTCGTATGGTGTTCCCTTAAGTGTCTTCTCAACATCACCCCAATTCTCTACTTGTGATGATAATGCCCCCTTGTGTATCTTGACTTGTCGGCTTCTTAACTCTTGATGAGGTACCCTCAGAAAATCTTGAACGTCCAACAGTTTCTGTAAAGACAAAATGGTGGGTGGGCAGCCAGGGAGGGGGGTAAAGGTGTCAATTAACTACATTTCTAGTAAGGATACAGCGACCATGGAGAAAAACAGACAATTTGAAGTTTATTACAGTTCGGTTTCTTATGATGTCCTCGTAGTAAAGGATGACATGCCTAGTACTCTTGAAATGCTCCAAAGCTTTTGTGACCATATCGTCCACTTGCTTCAAATTCGGAACCAGCATTTGTGTGTCTACCGTTGGTTTGTAACTAGCAAGTATCTCTGCCTGGAATGATATTATCATGTTAACAAGATCTATACTTACGGGACTTTTATAGTAAATATTTTAACTTATTTGGATGAAACTGCTTAATTTTATTTTAACATTCATTTCAACTAAATAATCAAGTCAAAAGCTACTTGTTGAGCTTATCTTATGAGGTTTTTCCAAAAATATGAGTAGAGTTATACTCAAGGACAAAAATATATATATAGTCATGGTATGCACCATCACAATCATTAAGGAGGCCGTGTTTTTGTCCATGACTTATTTTATGAAAGTTGAAAGTTGCAAAATAGCTGAAAAGTTTGTAGGTAGTAGCTGAAAGTTGAAGGCTTTAATGGGTACTAGAAATTGAAGGCTCTGATGGGTGCTAGAAGCCTAGAAGTTGAAGGCTCTAATCGGTAGCTGATTTGTGTCAAAGGCATTCTCTACTTCTTCCATCCCAAAATAAGTTTCCTAATATGACTTGTCACCACATAATTTTTTCTTTCTTTAAAATGAACCTTATTTGGGGCATAAAAGTAAGGAAGACAGAATCCCTTTTTTGGGACCGAGATTATTGATTGATATAGAACGCTATTTTTCTAAAAGAACAAGGTCATAAGTGAAAACAAACAAAAAACAGGAACTTCTTTCTGAAATGCTATAGGAATCCAATAGGAAATTGCTTTACAACTAAGAGCTCATTTTAAGCTCTAATTCCATTCAACAAATAGGATCAATAGCTTATTTAGAGCTTAAATGCTCTACTAAACACGCGCATAGTGGCAAAACGCACAATTTTCACGATTTTAGTTATGCCACATTACTTGTGGCTGTTGTGGGTAAACTGTAAACATTTCAACATCCACTGATCCACTCATACAATTTAATTCTACTCTGTGAGTGCGTGAGAGAGAGAGAGACTGACCTCCATGGGTGAATGAACGTGAGATTTGTGGGTTCCATTTAGCAACTTGGCACGTTGATCATATGAGTTAGCAAGTATCGAAACCATTCTACGCAAAAGATTCCTTCTAAAGAGAAAAATTGCTGAAACTCCTTTCTTCTTGAAGTATTCTACTATATCTTCTTGATGCTGCAGCAGACCCTGTAATGAAAACCAAATGGTTCACTGAATATTCGCTAATTTAGATTATGCCAAATTATAATATATTTTTTGAACCTACATAATATATTTTTTCCCATACATGGTTTTATGACGTAAAACCATCCATACAAGCTGCATAATAATTTCTTCCATTATTTAAAAAAACAAAGAGAGAAGGGGAGCCTACGGTGTTGGTGTGTGGCCGAGAGGTCACGGATTCAAGTCTTGAGAGCAGTCTCTTGTCAAAATGACAAGTAAAGGCTTGTTCCGTTTACACCCTTGTGATCGGAACCTTCCTGGGCCCTCGCCTTACAGGGACACCAATGTGCACCGGGCTGCCCCGTAGAAAAAAGGGAAAGAGGAAATAAAATTAAAAACAGAGAGAAAGCCACTACCTGGTTAAGCATCCATTTCAGCCCCACTGCAGCTGTGCATTCATTCTTGGAAGCACTAGTTAGCCAGTCAAGATTATATATCTTATCTAAAGTGTCCACGATAGTGGATATGTTGCTTCTCCTTACTTTCACAGAGAAAATTTCTCCATTGGAGCTTATGTTTGTATGATTGTTCAGCAAAGTCTCAAACCATCCACTGCCGGACCTCTGTGTTGACAAAATTGCAAAATATCGTACTGGACTGCATGCACACTCACCCCTACTTATCCAGCACAAAGATACGAAATTCAGTAATTTCATTACATAATAGAAACTGAAAGTGCTCTTTGGTAGATGAAAACTTTGATTGAGCTATCTAAAATAAATTTAAAATGTCTTTTTAGTAAAATAAAATGAATAATATCTAAAGGGTGAAGGTAGAAGTGATAGTTAGGGTATGTTCATTTGGATTGGAATTTTCTGACATGGACTGTTCTTTACTGGTATGTGCAAGTTTGATATCATTTCAACCATTTCAACCATGTTATAGTCTGATTTGGACTACAATATGTCCAACTACACAAGCTCTTATGCTTCATTTCAACCATTTCAACCTAAACATAAAAATGTGTGCAATGCTTTATTATTTCAACTATCGTCTGATTAGCAATCACATAAATGAGAGTTGGGTAGAAAATCAGAAATTTTAGACTAATCTTTGTAAGCCAATAGAGAAATAACCTAACAGTTTAAAAATGTAATAAAAGAATTGAAGGAATCTTACCGGCTAAAAGTCTTAGGCTTGGGGAAGTGCACATATGGTTTCTCTGAAGGTTCAACATTAGGTGGGTCACATGGCTTCTCCACAACAGCAATATTTAGTAAATGTGTATTCTTGCGACTGGCTGTTTGCTTCAGGCAGACTGAACATATATAGACTCCACAAACCATTACAAAAATCAAGACCAGCATTCTCAATAGCAGTGGAGATTTCTTTGAAGGTTTGATTAATAACCCATCCTGGAAAATAATAAACACGACTGTTTTGATTTTCTTTTAACCACAACGAAGTCATTTGTGTAAAATAAACGCACAAGAATTAAGTAAGGAAATGACAGTACAATGTAATAGTACCGCAATACACTTAAGCTAAATAAGAACCCCAAATACACTTGGGGTCCGTTTTGTAAGGGATATTTTGCTCAAAATGGCTGATTCTGCTATATATTCTGAAATTAAAATCATTTCTTTAGATGCTAGCAACTACGGAGTAACTAAATAAGTAGGTCAAAAGTTGTTTATTCTGCTACTAAGCAGAATAAACCAAGTATCGCTACCATACAGATCCTTAACTTCAATAAAAAACAAATACTTTAGCATTGCATTCAAGCCAAGCTAATGAAGATTAAGAAAAATGCGCAATGAGCTTACTCTTAGGTTACTTATTGTACTTTATTGAGATAAAATCTATTTAATATCCCTACAAATAAATCTATTCCAGTCATAAATTAACTGAAGGTCAAAACGATGCAAACAACGTTTAGACAATAATATAATGCATACTATTGGTGACTTACTGAAGAGATTCTAGATTCGATGCATGACAAGCGCTCTCATTGAAAAAGATTGAAATTAAGGCAAATAGTTTTATATTATAGAATATATTCCTGAGATACCCAGATCGGGGAAACAGATGTTTAATCCAAAAAGATAGTAAAGGAATCATCTTTTGCATTCGGAAAATATAAAACAAATTAAAGATACGAGGAAAACGTAAAAGCAAGTACCTTTGAGAAGAAACATAGATCGTCAGCCATTGTTGGCGCTTGCTAAGAACCAATAATATTAAAGAAAACAATATTGGGAGCTCAGATTTTGTCTAACTCATCGCCCCTTTTCTTTCTAGTAGCTTTATGCAGCATCCTAATCTTCCACAGTTCCACCCTCCTTCAGGAGGCATGCATACAAGTGTGGTGTGTGTATAGGTAGAGAGAGAAAAGGAAAAGTGGTGAGCTTTTTTTCTTGAAAGAAAGCAAATTTTTGGATGATGGT